TTTTTCAACTTGAATCTTGATCAATTTTGATGGTATCCAAAGGTTTTCTTCTCCTGTGGAAACAAATGCAAAACCCCTACCCCAGCGTAACACATGTCCGGGTTTCCATACCGAGGTCAGTACATCTTTGAAGTACACTGGTTGGTTCAGTTCAGCAGTTTTTTCTGTAGTCCAGTGTCTTTCCACAGCTGTTTGTCCATTGTCATTGTCATTAAGAAAGTTTAGTGTTGGGGCTGGAGAGATGGCTCAGAGGTTAAGAGCACCAACTGCTCTTCCAGAGGTCCTGAGTTCAATTCCCAGTAACCACATGGTGGCTCACAACCATCCGTAATGAGATCTGGTGCCCTCTTCTGGTGTGCAGGCATACATGGAGGCAGAATGTTGTATACATAATAAATAAATAAAATCTTTTAAAACAAAGAAAGTTTAGTGTTAATAAAGCACTATGCAATCTATGTTTGGGGGGGTTTCAACTTACTGGATTGCCTATGGAGCATCTCCTTAAGTGTCCTGTTAGACCTTTCAACAACTGGTTGTCTTGTAGGGTTGTGTGGTATACCTGTGACATGCTTTATGTTATAATATTTGAAGAACTGTTCCATTTTTGTGGAGACATATGCTGGAGCATTGTCAGTTTTTATTTAAAAAAACATTCCCAACATTTTACAAAAAAAAAAAATGGTACTACTTTAAAATGAGTGCCATGGTTATTTAAAAATAAAACACAAAAGATAAATCCTGAACTAAGGCTTTTTGAACATGAAAAAATATTAATGAGAGAACAACAGAGAACCCAAAGAGTCTGCCATGCCATCAAGCACAGACAAATAAGCACTGCACTAAAATGGCTTTGCCCCTTAATATTTGGACTTGTTCAGGTATAATGAAATTTAGATGCAAACTTTTTACATTAAATGTTGGAAATGATTTTTTTTTTAATTTGTTAGAAACATGGGTGACACTTTGTTCTTTTTCTTTTTCTGCTGTTTATTTTGTTTTGCTTGATTTTTCAGATTATATACAGCCTATTTGTTTACCAGAAGAAAATCAAATATTCGTTCCAGGGAGAATTTGTTCAATTGCTGGCTGGGGATACACTGAAATTCAAGGTATGTTATCACATTTGAAAATGAGAAAATGTATACTAAAAAAAATATGCTACTGAAATTTGCTGTCAATATTTCAATACTTTGCATCTTTTAACCTACTATTTTTTGCAGAATATTCTAAAAACAATTATCAGGGTTATATTCATGGTTATACTCATATAGTACACCAAATATTTTCTGATTGTGTCAAATCCAATACTACAGCCCAGAGAACTCAAAATACCACCTGGAACAATATGTAAACTGAACAGAGTTTTGAATGTTCAGGAAGCCTAGGCAAAAAGGAAAGGTACTATTGTTTGGTAGGATCATGTGACCTCTATACTCATTAATTATAGTCATGATAGGTAAATGCCCCAGATGTATTTAAGAAGAAAATACACAATTATTGTAGTCTCTGAATTAAAGCACTGACTTTGAAAATGCCCTTTGGAGAAAATGTATGGAATGGCTCAGTGGTGTTCAGCATTTGGTCATGTTAGACGGGTGACAGGAAACCTCATCACAACATGACACTTAGCCTGTATAAACACACTCCACACATATATTCCGTTCAGTTCTTTATTTCACTTTGAAAATGGAATGGGAGAAAGGAGTTGGATCAATATGGCTGAGAGACAGAGTATACACGTATGAGTTCCTAGAGTTCGGTTGAGGGAAGGGAGGAGGAATCACATGAACTACAGGGGGTCGGGCAGCAAGACCATGATGAGGATAACTACAGAGACAGCTGATCCAAGCTAGAGGGAGCTCATGGACTATGGACTGGCAACTGGGGAACCTGCATGGGACCGAACTAGGCCCTCTGAATGTGGGTGACAGATATGTGGCTTGATCTGTTGGGGAGGGGGCTGGCAGTAGGACCAATAGCTATCCCAGGTTCATAAACTGGATTTTTGGAGCCTCTTCCCTATGGTGGGGTACCATGCTCAGCCTTGATATGGGGAAGAGGGGCCTGGTCCTGCCAGACTTTGTTGACTCCCTGGAGAAGGTCTTACTACTCTGAGGAGTGGATGGGGGTTGGGAAGGATGGGAGGTGGGGAGTGGTTGGGAGAAGAGGAGGGAAGGGGAACCGGGATTGGAATGCAAAATGAATTTTTTCAAATAAAAATAAATAAATAAAAATGTTCTTTAAAAAATGGGGGAAAGCAACCTTACTGATCAAAAAAACATCAAGTTCTGAAGCCAATGCTCTCTTGCCTGGAGACTCAGCATGATAATCCATGACAGTCATATTTTCTGACTGACAGTACCTCATGGCTGCTGTCCACAAAGTATATAGTTGAAGACTATGTTTTTGTATTCCCTCTGCTGCAAAAATGTCATGACTTATTAAGTTAGAAACCTAAATAGCAAAATGATTGCTAGACAGATGTTTTGTCTTTCAAATTTTTAAAAGAACAATTTATAGCCACATTGTAGACATCAAAAACAAATTATCTGCTAACAAAATTTAAGACTCTTTATTCCATGGGAAGATTTTTGGAGCCGAGCAGGCATGTCTTGCTTATGATTTCTAAAATATATGTTTAATTAAGTTAAAATGTCTCTAAAGGCAGTGTGGAGCCAGAAGAGAAAAACAGCATCAGAAATCATTAAGAATGAAATGGCCAGGCAATCTTTCATTCCTTCTTAACTTTTTCAGGGATTTTATTAATTTTGCCATATGATTTATATTCATGCAATTTCATAAGACCTTGTTTTCTCATCTTATGAGTTTATTTTACTAATTAATTAGCTAAGATACTTGGGAGTATATTTTTCTCTAGAAAGAAATGAGACAACTGTTTAAGTTAGGCAATCAGTATCTAAAATAACCAAATTTGGCCATATATCACTCTACATTTGTTTGTTTGTGTGTGTGTGTGTGTGTGTGTGTGTGTGTGTGTATGTTCTCAATCTTACACATGGAAACCATTATAAAGAAATAAATAAGGCTGGAGAGATGGTTCAGCAGTGAAGAGGGCAGAGGCCCTGAGTTCACAGCCCAGCACCCAGGCTATTTAGCTCCTAACCCACTGCCTTTAACTCTATCGCTAGGGGAGCAGACATCCTCTCCTGAGCTCCCCTGGCACCCACAATCCTCTGCACACACACACACACACACACACACACACACCTCAAAAGTAATCAAAATAAGATTTTATAAAAGAAAGAATATTAAATGCACAAACAGTGCTCATAGTCTCCTTTACTAAGGAGCTCTGTTACTTTTTCAAACAAATTTTGTATCCAGGGACAAGTATAAAGGGAGGCTCCTGTTTTTATTGTAAAATTAAGGTCTGGCCACCCATCCTTGGTCTTTGCAGGGTAAATGACAGAAGAGGGACTGAACTTTCCTCTCTATTTCAGTCTCTTGTATTTGCTTCCTTAACTTTAAATCTGTCATGTTTTGAAAGCCAATTGAGGCTGTAGAGTTCACTTGGCTGGCACTATATATATATATATATATATATATATTATATCAGTGTGTTTTGCACTTAAATCACAAACACTTGTTTGTTTCCTGAAGATCTTAATGTTCTTAATGTATAAGTGAAACTTAGCTCAAAATGGGGTTGCATATGCTTTTACAATGCTGTCTGACAGATGTAATAAATAACCTTTAGCTTTCTACCTCTTTTGCTGCACCAAGTAGAATTGCTAATCATGAGGAAGTGCCTATGTACCCTTTCTAGAGGAACTAACACCTGTTTGCTTCACAAGCCTCTTGGGGATAGTACTTCAGTAAGCAGAGAGTCACACTTCCAGGGAATAATTAGTTGCATAAAACAAATGCAAATACACAATGCTAGGATATACTTCCTTTTTCTTCGCCTACATGGGATGGCAAGCTGTTTGCCCCAGAGCAGAGCACAGTTCATCAGAGCTTTGTCCCCTGCTAAATGTGCACCTGCTCATACACACAGAACCACAAAGAAGCTGAATGCTGTCATATAGGAGGGAGCACCTCCTCAGGTGCTGAATGAAAAGCTCCTCTCAGTCTCCAAGTCCCGGTGCTGATTTCCATGAATGAACTCTTTGTGCTGGCAGACTTCGTTTCTATGAGCAAAACTGTAACTCTTTAAAATCTCTGAAAATGCCTAAAGACCACCCTAGTCCAATCCATGATTGCTACTACCCTTACAAAAGAGAAAGAAAGAAAAAAAAGAAAAAAGAAATGCTTTGCTGCTATCCATTTGCCAAAGAGCGCAGGTGGGTTTACTATGTAAGTTTAAAGTGCAGGGTTAGTAGTTAGTTCCGTTATACATCCACACAGTACTTGATAATGAGAGCAAAATGCTGGGATCAATAGGATGGATGGTGTTTCATCCAAGGATGCCTGTTAATCACTACTGACTGGCTGTCTGCATCACCATTTTGAGCAGGTTCGACTGCTGATGTACTGAAAGAAGCTGATGTTCCTCTTGTATCCAATGAGAAGTGCCAGCAACAGCTGCCAGAATACAACATCACTGAAAATATGATATGTGCAGGATATGAAGAAGGAGGTATAGACTCTTGTCAGGTAAATATAGGATAGTAGTCAACTTATACATTTAAATAGTGTTCTCTTTGCTTAGGTGTAATTTGGGAGCCAAGAAATCACTAATGATTTTCAATTCTACATCTTTCATGGTAAATTCAATTATTGATAATGAGTGACTTTCAACAAGCCATTTGTCATTCATTGAGAGGGTAAAGTACAATGACACATGTAAGACAATCAGCAAACATTAAGAACCAATTAGGAAATTTTATTAGGACACTTACTAAATACATTTTCTGGCATGTCTTAATTACTTGGAAATTAATAAAATATTAATGCATCCAGATCTACTGCATTAAATTAAACTATAAATATTACAGAACAAATGATTAATTCATACACATGAGAATAACCATTTATATTGTCAGAGAATGGTTTTAAAGTGAGCAACTTGTTTCATATAGTACAACACATACAATATAATTTGACAACACTTTTTTAACAGATAGGCAGATAAATGTGTAAGTTTTTTCCTAGTTAAATCAATGTCTCAAGTCATGTTAAACTTTCAGATTTGCTTTACATTTATTTGCTTTGATGAACGCTTGTAAATTCACTACAAATCAAACAGCTTTACACTGGTTTAAAATTTACCTCCAGATCTTTACGCCTTCCTCATAAAATGAATAACGTGCTAAAGATAAGATACAGTACCACTTAAGATGTGATTTATAGAATTGTTTGCAAGAGGGATATCAGCTATACAATTTCAATTAGAGTTAACTGGGTTGCACGGCAGGCACCTCACTTGTGAGGTAGAAAATATAATGGGTAATGCTATTGATCTTAGAGTTACATTAGGCCAGTAACTCATTCCAGATCTGTGAAATCATGGGCTTGGCTCTGCTTTCTACGGGACCTAAGCATGCTACTCATTAGCAAGAAAGAAATTCCTAATGTATAGAAACATTCCATGCAATAGAGTGTTGTTATGATTGAGTAACCATCACTCAAGATTGCCACATGACTTTCTTGGTTCAACTTTAATATTAACTGGTGAAGTATTAGCACATTACTTAAATTTTTGAACATATCATTGTTTGAATACATTCACTTAATCATTACTTTTTAGCAAAAATAAAAAATTTCTAACCAGGTGGACCCAATTCCTTTGCATATTGTAGTCTTCTGAATTTACAGTCAATAAGAGAGACTACATACTATCTTCTCATTGATAAGGAGAGTGGATGTCATTTCATTGTCCGTTCAGAAACTATCTTTTTTCTTCACAAACATAGGCTGCACTCCATCAGATGGATCAGTTTCCCTAAGAACTTGTTTAAATTGCAGATTTAAGAGTCCATCACAGGCTTGCAAATCAGAATCTTAAATTGAGGCTCAATGATGTTTGCTTTCTTGTGTCCCTCAGGTGACTATAACATATAATAAAGTTTGAGAACCATTGTTCTAAGCAAAAATAGTAATTAATCCTTTCACATTCAAAGAAGTTAGTGATCTTTTGTGCTTGTATAAACATATACTATGTATACTTACATACTGTAAATAGTATCAAAGTAGAAACAGAGTTGGTTTTAATATTTTGTGTTCTTGCATTAGTTTATGAAATAGTTACATTTCCTTGAAATAATAGAAGAAATGTCACTAAACAAATTATAAAATCAAGGCCAGGAATTTACATAATATAAATGACATGATGTGGCTGGACATTGGGAAGTGATATATTGGAAACAAAGCCAAGGCCCCTGGCCATGCAGAGACCCAGGAGAAAGGCAGAAAGCCTTATTCAGGGTTCAAGTGTCCCTGCCACTCAACTGACTTAGTATACACCACGTCAATTAAAACATTTGGTCCTAACATCAATATTTCATACTCACCTAATAAAATGTCAATTATTTTCATGAAATAGAAGGAACCTTTTAAAAACACCTGATTAAGCTTTGGTTTAACTTTAGTAACTTCTAAAAAATATAGAAGATATTGTGAGCAATAAACTTCATAAATATATCTAATATACAGATTAAGACCTTAGGACACAAAAGTAAAAATCACTGCCCTTCCTTCAGACAGTTTTGGTACAATTGTCGCACTTTAAATGTAGGCAACCTGTGACTGCCAATGCCACCTGTGTTCCTCTCTGTCCAATAGTGGAGCAGGGAGTGAGTGCTTTGACAGGCCACCTTCCCCCTTTTAACAGAACACTAAAGGAGGTTAAAACATTAGGCAAGGGGTCTCTCAGGACAATTCCTAACAGTGAGCCAAATTTTGAATACTTCATTACAGCAGTGGTTTTCAATTAAGTATATAGCATTTCATATTGTTTCATGATATAAAAATAAATAACTTGCTGGTTAGTACATGCCTTTAATTCCAGCAGAGGCATGCAGCTCTCTGTGAGTTCAGTGCTAGCCAGATCTCCATAGTCAGTTCCAAGCCAAGTATAGGCTACATAGTGAGGCCCTATCTCAAAAAAAGACAAATAAATACATAACCAGAATTCTTTGCATAATATGGGAGTAATGTGTGTCCATTTTTCATAATTAAGTTATGCTATTACATGTACATACCATTTCTTTGGGCATTAGATAGGAATTATTATGCACAAATAAGACCTATGTGATCAGGATCAACTATCACTTACCTCACTTGCAGTGTGACAAAAAGCCACACTCCTATAACTGAAATCTAAATGAAAACATATGTTCTGATTACTAGAAAATAAGAGATTTGATTATTTTGATTGAAATGTTAAGGTTTTCAAATCTGATTGGTATTTGACAAAACTTTCAGTCACATAAGAGAACTAACTCCAAAACTGTGTGAGAGCTCTTAATTCTTCTAAAATCACAATGTGAAATAGTTTTGCCTTTCACATGAAGGCTTTTTCTGGTACTTATATGTTACTTAATAAAGTGATTAGCATGTTGATGTTGCTGGGATTTTTTATTGTGGAATTTTAGAATGTTTAACTGTGTTGAAATAAAATGACAGAGCTAAGAAATGCTCCACCACAGGCTGGAGAGATGGCTCAGCCATTAAAGGCTAAACTCACAACCAAAAATATAAGAAACGCTCCACCAAAATTATAAACTTTCTGTTGTTACCAATGGGCCCATCTTCTTGAATAGCAAATTTCTGATGGCTAAAATGATGGTGAGAATAGACACATAACTGGCAACCGATCATATTTCTTTACATTTATATTTTTATTGGTAAACTTAGCACAGTTGTACTTATTTATACTGGATTGGCCATGTACCCACAATTTCCTTTTTTTTGTTTACACTTTAGGGTGATTCGGGAGGGCCGTTAATGTGCCAAGAAAACAACAGGTGGTTTCTTGTTGGTGTGACATCATTTGGAGTCCAATGTGCACTGCCTAATCGCCCTGGGGTGTATGCCCGGGTCTCAGGGTTCACAGAGTGGATACAAAGTTTTCTACATTAGACATTTTCCCGACCCAAACATGAAAGTTGGACAGTGTTTGTTTGATTGTTTTTCCTTTTTACTCAAAGTAGCATGGCAACTGAGAGTTTCATGAAAAGGAAAGAAAAGCTTTTCTTCTAAACTGAATCATTTAAATATTGGAATAAGGAAGAAAGACAAAACAAATTCAAATCAATCTTTGCAACATAAAGTAACTCTAAAATGGACTTTTGTTTCATAATAAACAATTATTTTATAGACATCATTTCCTTTGTTTTCAATCATTTTCATTACCTTCTATTATGTGAAGGGTTATTATTTTAAGACATCTGCAAACATTTAAGCAAAAATAGGTAAAGAAATGAAATGTAATAGTTTGTCTGAAGTGTGGTGTTTGAAATGAACTGTTGTAACTCATCTAATTGCCCTTTAGTGTACCACCAGAATCACCCTTGTTTTCTTTCTTTACCACCTGAGTGCATTTCTATTTAAATGTAATATTTTCCCTGTTTATATACATTTGTTATAAACTCATATTGCCAACATGATCACATCATCAATATGCCTTTTGTCCACTGCAAAGAAAACACACACACACACACACACACACACACACACACACACACTGACCATAAAACATAAAAAAGTAAACTAGATAATAACATCATTCTATACAAATAATCTTTATCTGGGTCATTTTAACTTAACCATTTATGTCAAGCTGGTATTTACTAAAATCTTAAAAACAAGCAGGTATTTTGAGGAAATTCAGCTATTAAAATTTTTTTCTTAGTTTATATATTTACAGAATATCCTTAACATGAACAACTTGTTCCTTAACAGCTGAATTGTCCATTAAAGCCAAAAATGTGTAATAAATTAATTTGCTTTACTACTTTAATCTCTTGGATCATTTCCAGAGTAACTACAAATGTCAATTTAGCTTACAACACAGAATCTGCTGAAATCCTTAGCAACTTAAGACAACATGCACATATGCACACGCAGAGAGACATAGTTCACAAACACACACATGCACACACTCGCACATTTTTGCAACAATTGAAACAATGGAAGGATGAACAGGATTCAAATTAATTGAATAAAAAGAAGCAATTGCTGTGATTTGCTTTGTGAAGTAGGGAAGCTTCAGCTTCACTTAGAATGATTACAATTGGGGCAGTCAAGAGACACTGAAAACAACTGTGCAGATAGGAATGGCCCTGAAGGTTGAGGACGGAGGTCAAGAGACAATCAGGTCATGAAAAACATGCCATTAAAAGACGACGGTTGGACAAGATGACGGAGGACTAGATGTTCCCATAAACAACAGCATAAAAAGTCAGGGGTCTCAGAACACACTCTTCTTAATAAAATTTACTACTATTCTGAGACTAGCAAGGGGAAAGGAGCATAAAGAGTGTGTGGGGGGGAGAGGGTTGTTGTTTGTTTTGAATACATGAAGGCAGTTCCATATTTAATGGCATTTCCCAACATGTATTTAAACAATGTTCTGTAAACACAGGGTAGTTACATCACATATCGGTTTGGTTTTCGATGACCAGCTAAAACATTCAGAAGTGCTTCTGACCATCTTCTAATGGGAAGGAAATGACTTTTCCCGCCCTTGTCACAGATGAAGTTTGTCATTGACACCAGAAGTTAGCCTGACCTGGATAAGGATAGAAGGGGGATTAGCAGCCTTCCCTGATCACTTTGTGCTTTCACCTTCCAGCTGTTAAGAGTTCCTGGCAGCACAGACAAAGCCCAATCATCCTTCTCACAGTTGTAACTAAAGAAAGGAATTGGTGGAGTTGGCAAGGAAGGAAAACATAGATCCAAGCAGCTGGCCTCCCATTTGACCCAAAAGATGGAAAGCCACAGAAAGGATGGGGGCTAAATGAGGATAGCTGAGCTTAGAAGGCCGTTGCCCATCTCAGTCTCAAAGCAGCAGATGGAGAGCTGAGGTCCCTTTTTGCCTCTTATTTGGAAAACCAAGTCTACGTAAGGGAAGTACTTTATTATCCAACTGCAAAAGACTGGCAGAAAATAAGATTCTCTGTTCACTCTGTATACTTGCCTTCCATGTTTGTTTTCATCTTCAGGTAGTGATGAAACATACCTGTTCACTTAAGAATTTAGACAACACCAATGATCATTCCTCAGAAACAAGAACTTTTTATTTGGTTAAAAGTTACACAGGGACATTTGAAGACAAAATACAACTCTCTCTCTCTTGAGAAGAACAAATGCTACTTGTTGAGGAAACACGATCAGACAGAAGGGAGCCACAATTCACAATCATGAACAAACCCTGGTCAAAGACATTTAAACATCAATGGCCTCTCATCTATGGCCCTTTAACTGGGGTGATTTGTAGTTTTTGTTTTGTTTTGTTTTTTTCTTAATCTGTAATATCAGTGTGTTCTGCTTAGCCTCATACTGCTGAAAATCATTCAGCCACATATATCAATACAAGCTAAATTCAGTTAGAATCCCTTAGCCAAACTGCAGCTGTCTAACTCCAGGGTCAACCCTAGCCCTCCAAGAGCCATTCCGTTCCGTTAAGAGGGAGGAGCCACACATTGATTCCAGACACTCCAAGAATTCAGCTTGCAATTCAATAGGCAACGTGTGAAGACCTGTGATTTGTACTGTGGATGCAAATTTTTTCCAAGATAAACTACATTGGTGTCTATACAACTATTAGTAAAGATATTTTATTACAAAAATCAGCTTAATTTTAAATCAAGAATAATTGTAAGGCACGAGTCTTGCACAATTGAAGTTAGACAGTTCTTGCCTCTAAGTAAAGTTTTTCAGGTGATTGATGATACAGTCAGTCAATGAAAGTTTCTTATTTCTGAAGAGATTTCCTAAACCTTATGCAACCAAAAACAGAGAAATGAAACAACATGAACTATTTCTGCAAAAGAGAGAAAGAAAGAAAGAAAGAAAGAAAGAAAGAAAGAAAGATAGAAAGAAAGAAAGGAAAGAAAGGAAGGAAGGAAGGAAGGAAGGAAGGAAGGAAGGAAGGAAGGAAGGAAGAAAGAAGAATAAAGGAAGAAAGAAAAAGTTTCCCAATGGAAAGATTTCTTTATGTCTATGTGAATTCAGTATTTAATCAAAACAGCATGTATGTAAAAGTGAAATGCCATAAATATAAATACTAGAACACTCCAACACTCTGTATTTATCAGACACTTTTGCAAAGGTAGAATTTTTCTGCACACTGTATATTTGAATCCAATTTATATTATACAAAGTACATCAATGCTGATCAATTATGAAGGTGAAAAAAAGCAAATGTAACTATTCCAACCCAGGGATTCCAGATATGTCCCCTGAAAGTTACTGTGTGGTCCATTTCATTTACGTGACGTTTGGTGCATTGTTCAGCTGAGAAAGGCAGGTCAACTCATTCCATGATTAACACAGCATATTTTGTAAGTGAAACTATGAACATATAAAAATTATTTTGACATTTGCCTCAAGGGGGAGCTTACAGTTCATCTTGCAGATCCTTTGAGATTTTTTAAGCCATTCCAAGCTAATGATGCCATTCCTTACACTGATCAAGAATTACAAAACTATTTTTTTTTTTACTTTCTGGAGCAAAGTCAGTTAAATATTATACTTCCATGCCACTTTCCTTTCTTGTGCTCTTTGAAATCCACAGTGTAGACTGGTTCGGGCTAGTTTTTGTTCTTCCTTTACTGAAAAACATAAAGAGAAATGAATTCAGTTCCTGAATCTGCTTGATTAGGCTGGTTGTGTCTTTGTCCAAAGAGAGATGCTCAGACAGTTAGGATGAGTTCTTCTTTCCTCATCAGCATATTTTCCTTTCCTACAAAAAAGTCTGGATTATCCCACTGTATGAAGATGACAAACGGTCCTTATGAGAACTGAAAACAAACCAACAAACATACCTGCATCTGTTAACTCACCATAGAATTGAAACATACATGCATAACAATGTTTGACAGAGTACTAAAGCATCCAATTTCTCCCAGTAAATCTTCTTTTCTTTGGCCAGCTTTCTAGATCTTACTTGGGTACTCTAATAATGTCTATTGCAGTTAGTGTCAAGTCATCCAAACATATGCTATGGTCCCAAATGTAAGGAATGCCTATCCGCCTTCTTCCATCAATCTTCCTGAGCGCTACTTAAGTCATTGTGTACAGAAAGCTTAATTTTGCCTCTCTCTCAAACCTACTTAGGTCATTTGTGTACAGAAAGCTTAATTATGCCTCTCTCTCAACTGATGTAAGTCCAAAACAGACACATGTTTGGTGACTTGAGAGTCTGTGAATTCTTCCTCCAAGGTATGTCTGACACAAAACTTCTTTCCTGTAGAACTGGACCTAAGTCCTCATGGAATCCCGTGCCAGGTATTCTGATGGTTTTTCCTATAGCAGTCATTGCCCAGGCTACTACAGAAGTGTCTGTAAGTTTCCCCAAGTCTCTACCCGATTAC